CTTAATCCCATCCCACTAGCAATAAAAATACTTATTATAATATTTGTAATGTCATTGTTTTTATAGTATTTTTTGTTGTTGTTGTATCGATTTCTTCCCAATTTGACCAGTAATTTGGAACAGACATGCAGACGAACTCACTGGGCTACAACTTATGCATTCGTTTTACGAAGTTTGTAAAAAAATCTCTTAAAAATAGTTAAAATTAAGTTTGTGTTGCAGTGGACAGTATTTTGCTAAACAAACTGCTACAGTCAAGGGCCTCGCCTTCCATACAGTCCGTGCTAATAATGTACTTACTCCCAGCAGACGTGATATTTTAACAGGCTTATTCGGACTTTCACCTGTGAACTCGGTTCTGGCTGCTAGGCTACCACTTGAAGGGTTTTAGGTCAGAATATTGCTTTATGAACAGCTCTTTCAGCATCGGCTATTAACAGATTAACTTCACACGAGCTTGAAGTCCTCCCCACTACATGGATCACACTGTCACTCTGCTATTCATCATCATAGCAGTCAAGGTTGAAGGCTATCAACATGAAACTTGCCTTCACGTCTTCCATAAATGGTAGAGTCAGAGTTTGTCAGGGTTACTTTACGACCTGCGGTTTATTGCCAATCAGTTGGTCTTGGCGACAAGCTCCTTGAGACTCACGACCAGCAATTTTATTTTCCAACTGAACACTTGCGATATAGTCCTTGATGTCTCTGTCGTTTTGAATTAATGCTGGACCTCGCCAGCGCAGTCATTCTCAGGTCAGAATCCGCGGGAATCATGACCATATTTTACTGTCTCAGATAAGAGACTCCCCGAGCGTGGAGGGTCAGTTCCCCGTATTTATATCCCTTGAGAACACTTATGCTCACAGGCACTGGGTTCCCTTTTCGTCACCTACGACTCGCAGGGCTATAGTGGAGGTATCTGAACCCGCCTCCACACTGAACAAATAGTAGAGTGGTGTATAGACCGGACTTTTGGAGGACTGCACAGCTGTAGAGTTCAAGGCGCTGGATGGAAATCTCGGCCTGTAATTGGCTGCGTAAGGTTTTGCACAGTTTTCTTCAATCCCTCCATAAAAATTCCTGGATATTATCTTGATTAACTCACGACCACTTCCTTTCAAATCCCTTCCAATTCATGTTCATCCTATCCGACGTTTTATCAACTATCTCATTTGTGCTCGAGATTCGAAGTTCTCACTGAGATCAATAAGCTTATTACGACTATGGTGGCATGAGATGTGACGCCGTGTATTTTGGTAGATACGAACTCCCTGAATATGGGTGCATCGGGCCCCTCCACAGCCTTATATGACGTCATATCCTGGAAGACCTCCATCTTACCATCCGATTCTTCCAACAACGGAGTATGTCATTTGTTTTGAATGTAGGAGCCGCAGCAGCTCAGTCGATATAGTGGTTAGGCAACCGAGAAATCGGGGTTCCATTCACGGTAGGAGCAAGAGTTTGTTCTCTTCTCCACAACGACCAGACCGGATCTGGGGCTCCCCAGCAAGTAGAGGACGATTTTTCATCGGGAACAAAGCGGCCAAGGCGTGAAGCTGGCTACTTGCCTCCATCTAGTTCCGAGGTTAGGAATATGTGGAGCTATACTTCCTCGTGGCTCACGGGGACAACTTTAACTTCACCTTTCAAAGTAACGGTTTTATGTCAAGTGGAGCATTTAAATTCAGTATAGGTCGTAGTCCGTATTGTGTGGTGCTTAACATAGCAATGAGACGGCTTTACGCTCGTTTCCTTAAATATATCGATTTTATATTAAATAATTATGAAATAAACAAAAACAAAACTCCGTGGCTTTAATCCACAAGCGATCTATAACGATCAAGCGACCGCCGCTTGTCGGCGCCAACTAAGCGGATAGAGGGTGTCACGTGGTCAGCGCAACGAATCTCTACGACCGTTAATTTCAGTTTTCTAGACCGGAGCCGCTATTTTTCCATTCAAGTAGCTCCTCAGTTATCCTCACGAGGCTGAGTGGACCCCGTTATAGAATCACTGCTTCTCAGAAAATCTTGTAGCGCTGGGAATCGAACCCGGGACCTATGGATCTGTAAACAGGAACTCTGATCACTTGACCACAGAGGTAGACATCAAATAGTTAACTGTAGTCTAAATCTGAAAATTATTAACTTCACTGACTGTCTCTGGATAACGTAACTTTCTCTGGCTTCTAATGCACAAATACAGATCAAAGTCTAATGGATAAATACAGATCAAAGATATTGATAATCCTTTGTGACAGCGGTTTTGAACCAGGCTACATGTACCCCCTTATGAGGCTTCAAACTGGGGGGTGTGTGAAGCCTTGTAAGAGAATTCATGAGAACTGTTTGCTCAAACTAGTGCCCAGGTCAGGGATACATAGATCTGTTCATGCCTTCCCACATATATCTTCATGGCGTAGTGCTTAATTAGTTAAGTACGGGGATAATTTTGCCTTTTTTACTGCCCCGTAAATCAGCACTACTCTAGGAACCTGGATTCTATTCAAGGCTTTTCTCCAAATTAGAAATTCTAAATTAGTGGATGTATTTTATTAAATTTTCCCAATTGAATTACAAAACTTCAAGAAGTTTGTTTTGTGTATATTGTCACATATCGGGCGTATAACGCGACAAATAACTTCACGCCGTATTTTGTATAGCGAATTTTATTTCACACTCGCACTTACAATCACCCAAATTACAGATTTACGATTACTGCTATCTGCAGTATCACAATTAGTACACTCCAAATGCCACAATACAACTGACTAGTTGCTGGCTAACTCGGCGGTAGCTCCAGGACTCACTGACTGACTCAGTACAACTGACTGTGAATAGCCTTTGCTGCTCCCTATGTAGCCTCGATCGGAAAATACGGCCACGTAATAGGCACCCTTGTTGCCTGGCGCTGTGTTGCTAGTAACGCTAGCGGAAGTAACCGCTGTTACTACTTGGTGACGCCACCGCTGTTGACTCGCGTTGCCTAGCGACCAGGATCCTAGGACTCGGCTAACATCGGCTCGCTTCGGCTTCGCTCGGCGCATCACGGCTGGCGGGGGGTGGGGGAGGGCTCATAGCTCAGCATGTCACAATATGATATTGTAATTGCAACAGTCGGGGCCGTGCGAAATTTGAAAGCAGTTTTTTCTCTTTGTAAATATTGTAACATGACCCCTGAAAGGCAGAATAATTAATTCCTAGGCAACGGCTCGGTAAACAGTTTCCCACGGAAATAAACTAGCACGCATTAGAAGAACTGCCGTTTCTATGCAGCGGCGAAGTAAACACACTTCTATAAAAGCAGGGGATTTGTTAGGAAATTGTATTTTCTGTTGGGTCAGCCCCGAGGCTATATATAACGATGATCCAAGGGCTGCTGAGATAGAATTGAGGGAGTCTCTTGAGATTGTAGTCGAGGATGATTGAGAGTTGAAGGTCAGCCTGTGAAGAGAAATCTTTACGTATGATAATTAATGTGTTAAAATCCGTTGCCAGCATACGACTAGTGAAGACTGAGAACCCTAGAATGTGTGGGTGCGTGCGTACCTGCTTGCGCAGGTGTGTGTGTGTGCGTGCGTGCGTGTGGGGGGGCACTGTGGCACTTCTAGCTATAATAGTTATAGGCTGCAGAGTTTAATACCAATCTCCACCAAATCAGCGACGTATTTGTGTGTATAAAAATGCTGATGATGACGCAAGCCCAGAGATGTTCGGACACCAAGTGGGTTGTTGGGTGGCTGGATGACTACACAGATAACATAACACACGCAAAGCACGAAAATGCTTTTATACTCTGGTCATTTTCCATTTCTGCAAATCTTGCATATTCCCATATTTGAAGCCTCGACAAAAATGATGTCAGAATATGCAACCAAGCTTTGTTTCCACTGTTGAATTGCTTAAGCTTTTGTTCTTTCGGTTAGGAAGCTGGGTGAGTCCGGAGCCGTCTGCACCAAATGTCCATTCTGTGAATAGAATCCCAGTTCCTCGAATGTCCACTATGTCAACTGAGCTATCTAGACATTTACATGCGTAAGTCCCCCCCCCCACCGCCCGCCGATCACGGTGGGCGCGCGGTTTAAGGCATGAACTGCTTTCGCTCTTTCAAACACTTGGGTCGTGGGTTCAAATCCCACTCGAGGCATGGATGCTGTGTGCATTTATTTTGGGTATGTGGCGGCCTTGCGACGGGCTAATCCCCAGTCCAAGCAGTCCTACCGACTGTGTGTAGGATTAAGAAACTGATAAAATAGAAAGAGGCCCAACAAACGGCTGTAGAGCCATTGTTGAATGAATAGCATCCGTGCTCGATTCAAGAAGACATAGGCCTATAAAGGTAAGATAAGGTAAAGTTATCCCTGTAACAGATCATGGAGGCCCATACGGTTGTCAGACGTCGAGGCTGCCACATCTTCTAGACATTCGGCTCACAGGCGGTGAGGTCAGTCTTACTCGCCGGTCGCCCTTTTACCCCCAGGAAAATTCCTGGTACTCATTTCTGTTAGAGGTTGAGTAGACCCCAGGACCATAGTGCGGCTGGTAGGATTAGGTAAATAGAAAATATGAAATTACCTCATCAGGAATCGATTCCGTAACCTTTCGGTGTGTAGCATATTGCCCGGACCAGTTTACGCTACTGTGTGCTCCCAAACTTACGCATGTACGGCGAGTAGAATACTAAATGTAAATAGGAGACGTTCAACCTGCTGGAAACATATTTGGTCTCCAAAAAGTAGACTTTCTGCACCGAATCGACGCGGCTAATAGCCTGATAAGATTTTATCCCGAATTCTCAGCTTATTTAAAAAAAATGTGTAATGAAACGTAGTTTGAAAAATATTTAAAGTTATGTTGCTGGCAACAAATCGTGTTCTTCTCCGAGGCTCTTCCCTCGAAGAGCTTCTTTCGGCAAGTTTCCACCTCCTGCAATTTTCTGCGCTTTCTACAGGCAGGCGTCGAGAGCTCATTGGCTTTGTTGCTTGCTTCTTTCAGATTATCGTGGCCAGTCGCTTCAATCGCGCCGTGCTAGACAACATTGCAGTGCCTGACACGGTAAGCAGTGAACATCCATTCTTGGTCCTCTACCTTTGGGGGTAACAAAACGAGTCTATCCAGGGGGAAGAGTGAAAAGGGTAATATCCAGTTAAAAAGAAAGCAGGATTATATAAACAGAAAAAGGCAAAATTAGATAAGGGGAACTAACGAACTGCATGGAGCAAGCCATTCTTGAGAAGCCGCCCGTTGTGCACCTACTCAAATGCTTCTCAGCATTTTATGGAACCAGAAGGTTCATTATCCTGTTCATAAAAGCCCTCCACTGGTCCCTATCCTAAGCCACGTCAATCCACTCCATACCACTACATCTGAAATCCGTTTTAATATTAACTACCCACCTACGTCTTATTCTTCCTAGTCTCTTTTCTTCTGGCTTTCCCAGCAATATCCTATATGCCTTCATCTTCTCCATTCGTGCTACATGCCCTGTGCATATCCTCCTTGACTTGATCATTCTAATTATACTCGGCGGAGAGAAAAGATATCCCTGTAACAGGCCGTGGAGGCCAATAGGGTTGTGTGATGTTGAGGTTCCCACATTTTCTAGACAATCGGCTCATAGATGGCGGCCAGGTTGTCAGTCTTACACGCCGGGCGCCCTTTACCCCCAAGAATATTTCAAGAATATTCCTGGTACTCATTTCTGTTAGAGGCTGAGTCGACCCAAGGGCCATAGGGCGGCTGGAAGGATTAGGTAAACTGGAAAAATCCAGTGGTCTCATCTGGACTTGAAACCGCGACCCTCTGACTTCTAGCATAGTGCCTCAACCAACTACGCTACCGCGTGCACTTGGCGGAGAGTACAAGTTATGAAGCTCCTCATTATGCATTTTTCTCCAAGATGATGTTATGGGAGACTACGTTAGAACGTGTTTTATTAAGACAAGTATATGGGAACGACATAAACATAAAATTAAGGTTCTGATTTCACAACAGAAATTGGAAATGTTCCGTTAGAATCTGCCGCTGTATGCCAGTCAATCTGATCAGTTTGCGCATATTTCTGAGCGCTACAGAAGTTGATCCGATTTCAGTCAGCTGCATACACTGGCGTGACTGCGAATCCCATCTCCAAAATCTGATGTAGCAACAGAAAAATGGAAACATCCTTATAATCCTTATTATAAACGTTTCTTGGAGGATTTCCTCGTCTCAAGCTGCGTGGATGCCTATGTAGGGGCACCAGGCTTATTGAAGTAGAGAGAAAAGAAGATAAAGGAAGAAAGGATAAGGAAAGAGAAAGCTAAATTAAATAATAAAATGAAAGGACGAAAGAAATGGAAGTAAAACATTAATAATGTGGCGTATAGACCCGTTTCTAGGCAGCGACCGCGAAATAAACAACATTCGCTGCTCGGTAACATATTTTAATAAGCAAAAATAGACTGCCGCTGCTAGGGAACAGCACGGCAAACACTTTCCTGGGGCAACGGATACGTATGCGACAATTAGGTACTGTTGAAAACGTTTTCTCCGTGGCACGTGCCGAGGAGTTACGAAGAGAACGCCAGTCGAGCGGGTTTGCATAACATCGGCGTAGCCCTGCGAGTCATAGGAAGCAAAACCTACTAGGGACTAGCTCTATTTATTGGGTCCAACTGAGTGGGTTTCACCTGAAGATGGAGACAGAATCCAGTCTCCGAAACGCTGTGTTTTGAAAAATAAACAGGACGGTTTCTACAGAGAAACAAGAAGACGGATAATGTCCAAAACATAAGAGTTGTTGTAGTTGTTAATCGTATTTGGTTTGTATTCATTGTGGTAGGATGTCCTTGTTGTTGTTGTATTTGTTGCAGTTGTTTGTATTTCTCTGTAATTGTTGTAGTTGTTAATCGTATTTGGTTTGTATTCANGAACTGCGGATAAAATTCGCCCTTCACGTATCTGTACACTTTCTGCTCCCATGCTCTACATGACCCTAGAAACCCCAACAGATCTTCATGTGAAGTTATAAACAAAGTCGGCCTGCGTATGTCGACGACACATTTTAGCAAAACTCCCTACTAACGAAGTTCGTAAAAATCTGTGAAGCGATTCTTGAGTAAGTACGATGTACAGGCGGACAGGCTGATATTCTGAAGATAAATCATTATCTTTTTTTTGTCCTTTATTTTAAAATGTGCAGAAAATGATCTCGCTCTAGGAACAGAGGTTATAATTACTGAGAGCCATACACGTGGATATGGACATTGAAGTCATAACACCGTAAAG